AGGTAGATGTAGACGATATCTATAGTTCCTGACCTCTGCGACTGCGATCGCATGGTTACTTTACTCGACTTCACTATCGAAGTTATTCATTCACGAGTGGAAGAAGCAAGTACTCCTGCTTTACGCGAAACTGTGGTGGGATCCCATCTCGCACTCCGTCTTCTGTCCCGCAATTTATGACTTGAAGGCACACTCTACAGGGATATTTCGTCAGACCAACATAAATAGAGACTTTCTTACAGTAGTAAAGGGGTTTCGAGTGAAAGCAATTCAATCAAAGTAATACACCTCACGATGTCCAAAAAACGAATCCTGAGTAATCAAAGGATAAATCCCACGTGAGGGAGAAATTTTTAACTTCTTATTCCACGTCGTTGTCTCCAAAAAGGGCTTAAAAAAAAAAAAAAAAAAAAAAAAAAAAAAAAAAAAAAAAAAAAAAAAAAAAAAAAAAAAAAATATTATTTTTTATTTTTATTTTTATTTATTTATTTATTTATTTATTTATTTATTTATTTATTTATTTATTTATTTATTTATTTATTTATTTATTTATTTATTTATTTATTTATTTATTTATTTATAATGCACTCAAGGTGCGCCATCAATAAACACAATAATCTTAGTAGATGATCGAACGGAAGAGGTGGGCTAGAGACAATCTTTGCTTTCTGACGTACGACAACAATGGAGCGAAAATGCCATTATGCTGTTTACCACGGATTCCCTCCTTATGGGCGGAAGTGGTGTAGTGGCAAGTGGCACGCTTACCACGCGAGCGGTCCGGGGATCAAATCCTGGGTCGTGAGTCGCCCGGGCCAACCAAGCCTTCCATCCCTCCGGGGTCGGTTAATTGGTACCAGACTTGTCTGGGAGGATAAAAACACTGACTTGTACATCGGCTGGCCCCCGCAAGTCATTGTATAGGCCACATCGCATTCAAACGCCACTACGAATGTACAAATGGAAGTAGAATGCGTGCCGCATCCCAAAAAGGGATTGATCAACGGCAAATGCTTTATCCTTTATCCTTTAAGATGTCCAAAAAATAATGCTGGTAATTCAAAGGATCCCATGTTAAGACGAACTTTTTTTATACCCTTACCCAACGTCGCCTTCTCCAGGAAGGGCTATTTCCGGTATCATGCTATTTGTCGACAATTTCTTCCCAACGAGAGAAGTCGCTTTACTCAACATTTCAGCACTGTTTGTGGCTCTGGCAGCAAACCGTAAAGGCAGTTGTGCGTGTTTTTTTTTCCTGTATTTGACGAATATTTTCGAAGGAATCCCCCGTTGCAGAGGCTAACGCGGCCGCCGAACTGCACAGATCAAGGCAAACCATTCAACACGTCACATGGTCGCGCGATATCTGTGTTTGGAGGTTCTCTGATGTTGCAGTGAAATGCACGTGATAAATTGAATGAGTGAATTGCCACGTTTATTTTTGACTTTCTGGTCTCGCACAGCGCTGACACTCCGCCGGCTGGCTGCAAAACTGATGACAATCGAATCAAAGCGATGTGCAGCTCATGTGCAGACATACTGCTTCAGTGCTTCTTGAAAGTTTCAATGGAGTGCAAAGGTTCTTTTGAAGGGGGAAACTCGAAGTCATTAGCGTTTTAAACAAGACTTCAAAAGCTTCGACTTCATTTCGACGAATCCTCATGTCGACTTGTACGTTCGTTCTCGTCTGCCTGCTGCATACGGGTGCTGGGTGCATTCTAGTCTGGCGTGACGCAAATGCAAGTGTGATGTATTGCCGATTGCAAGTGAAGAGGAGAATTAGAGGGTTGAAGAGCGGGCTGAGATAGCGCTACACGGCTGGAGAACGTGTACGCGTGCCGGCCGTTGGGAGAGACCTGTCGGTGTTGGTGGGCGTCCGAGCTGGAGAGACAGAGAGGAAGTTGTTTGGGACGTCCCTGACACGTGGTTGGCGGAATCGCCGTGCAGCAAAACGCACGTGCGTGACTGGTCGTGTCTGTCACCCTCCAGTCAGCCAACGACATTTCCTAGAGCAAAGTCCGCTACCCTACATGACATAATCGCCACCTCCACGCCGGTCGCCCCGTCGCGCCCGTCGCCGCCCGCAACCAAACCCCCGTCGGTCCGTCCGTCCGTCTCCGCACCCCGACACCGACGACAATCGCGCGCGCGCGTACCCACCAGCCCATGCCGACATGCTACATTTCATCCTCCACTTCACATACACACACATACACATACACACGTCATATACTTTACAGAAAGGCCAATTGTAGCGCTGAAATACCACCGTAGTGGCGGCGGCGGTGGTGGTGGCGTCTGCTGCTGCTGCCACTTGTGGGGTGCTGAGTCAAGTCGATACAGCGCCGCATTCCTGCGCGGAAATCGCTGCAAATCACGCTACATTAACAGGGATGTCTGCACTAGCATAATTGTAGAGAACGAGAAGAAAAATTACGCTTTACACACATCGATAGCGGCAAAGGGCATGTAAGACATTCTTGGAATCTACCCCCCCCCCCAACTCACACACACCTAAACTCCCCCAGTGTTTGACATGACAAAGTTCATCAATACCACATACTGATCGTGTTTGATTAGACAAGGAAGTCATGATTGGAACCGCGATGCATTTGTCCGTGTGTGCGTCTATTAAGATGATAACTCAGCCGCTCATATGGTGGTGTGTTCGTACGTTCTTTGGGGTTAAACGTGATTCAAGGCAGTACTAAAAACTAGAACCGGCGCGATTTTATTGATTATTGACATTGCGCCTTCTTAGCACGTTCTTCGCCGACGACGATTTGATTTAGCTTACGTAGGACCTAAAGAAAAAGATGTTTGCCGGAAAGAAAACCCGGCTAGCTCACACTTCAACCTAGAAAAAACCATGAAACGAACAGAAATCGCTGCCTAGTTCCACCTTAGCTGATGAATGTTCAACATATGGGTGGTCCGAACGTCCAGATGGTTCCCCACTTCACTGACTAATCTCTCCACTGCACTTTTTCTACGTGACAGTTTTGACAAACTGGTATAATCAAGCACTATGGGAGCTATGTGTCTGTGTGTGTGGCGGATCCGGCAATGGACTCTGCTGTCTTTTATGTGAGTGCTAAACTGAATAACGAACAACAGTACGAAGTCGCCTCGGCCGTCCCGTTGTCGTCAGACATTCACGTGATCCGATCGTGAAATGTACTCTCTCGAAAACGAGATTGCCGAGCTTGCCTGGCAGCCGATGTAACCCGGCGCTGTCCGCATGTGCACGTGGAAATGTACTCTCATCATCATCATGTGAATTTTGAACGTTCTATAATGGGTCTGGGAAAAACCGATGATGATGTTCTGAACGTGCTCTGCCTGACCAGGGCTGAACGGCCGTCCGGCTGGCTGACAACCGGGCACAAATCTCTCACTCCACTGAACGTTTGGCTTTTTATAGTAATCACGCGACGTGACTGAATGACTGACTAGTATTTGCAGCGCTGGGGAAAAAAATTCGAAACCTGCCGAATCAACCACTCCATCTGTACATTGCACAATTTCAAAGAGCACTACGGGCGGAAATAAAACAAAACCCAAATAATGTCCTAGAAATTCCGAGTACGAGGGTGGTCGCCCTCCTGTCTCAGGCTCTGATGAAGGCGAAGAACCTGGGACGTAAGCCTAATAAAAAGCTCAATCTTGAACAGGCTTGAAGAATCATCCCTACCAAATAATGTTTATTTTTGCACCTTAGCAGTGGTGTCGGTGCTTAGCACCTTCTTCTGGATTGAGCTATTTGAATTAAAAATTAGTTAATATTTTGGAAAGTTTAAAATCCAGATAAAAAACAGTTGACGGGTTAAACGCTTAGTCTTTGTCTAAAAGCACGTGCGAAACGGAGATTGAACGACTCTCTGAATCCACACCCCTTTCAAATAAACCAAAAAAATTTGAAGAATAGAAAAATTTTAGGAAAGAAGGTTCTGATAAGAATTATAAGGAAGTGGTTGAATTATTTGATATCTCCATTAAAAATAACAATTTCATGTCTCGAATCGCTTCCCAAGTTCCACGAACCAACTTCATGTCCGGAAGACGACGAATAGTTCAAATCATTTCAATTTTGAATTAATTTTTAAGTGCTCACATACAATTCAATTTCAGCTCATCTAATCTCATGCCATACCGGGTCCATTAATCTATGAATTTTCCACGGTTACGATTGACCAGTAATAAATAGGTAAATAAAAATAAACAATAAACATACCACCGTAACTACCTGTATAGCATAACAGGAATTCTATATGCAAACAAAATATCTAGATTTGAGTAAAAAAAAGAACTCAAAAATGCTGCAGGGAAGAAGAACCAAGAAATGGTTCGATCTCCGTTTTGCACGTGGCGGAAAAAGCTGAGCGGAGATCATATTGGGGGAATTGCCCCCCCCCCCTCCTCCTAAACCCGTGCTCTCCAGCAGATCATGTTTCAAAAATACTGAACATGGAACCCATAAAACCCTAACCTTCCATACTTTACGAGTATCTCCAACTTTACTACTTTCGCTCTTCTCTGGAGGTTCCTTTTGTGGTCTTCCAATAGTGGTCACGTATCCAGCAACGGAAAAGGTCTTCGTATACTGCGGTTTGGGCCTGGCTTAGTGGCCAAAAGCACGCAGCGGGAAGTGTGTACCTGCCAGTGTGTATGCGTGTGTATGTAAGCGTGTGTACGCGTGTGTATGTGTGTGTGCAGACGAGGCCGTGAACGATTGCCGGGTCCCCCCGTCCATCCGAGTACACGAGTGGCGCTGGCTGTCTGTCTTCGCTCTTTCGTCGTTGCTTACTCTCCAGCGCTCCCTCTCACTCACACACACACACACGCTGTGTGGGGTCGACGACGATGCGGCCGCACGTGCACGTGCGAGCCACATGTGCGGGTGGGGGCCGTTCTCTGGCGCGTCGTCGTCCCACCCTCCCCCCACCCGTCAGTTTAGGCGATTGTCGCACGCACATTCGCTGCTGCACACTCTCCGCTAAATGGACGCGCAGCTAAGCATTGAAACGTTACTGACCGCCGCTAGACTACTCGATGGAGGAGGACACAAAGTCAGCTCACTTATTCAACCGTTATCCAGTGTGCAGAACGCTGCTGCTGCTGCCGCTGCTGCACAACCAACGCCGACGGCTTTTCCACCGTCGCTCACCGCCTGTCAATCGTTAAATCGTGGTTCGTTACTTCCTTCTCTGTCGTTCCTGTTTTGCTTGACTCGTTTTCAATTTCACTTTCACTGGATTTGAACTGCCATTCTAACCGCGGTTAGATATTCCTTTGGAGGTAGATCTCAGTCTCGTTTTGCTTTGCTGTCATGATTTCATCCAGTCGTGCTTTCAGATGCCGTACAATCAGAACTCAGGGATGTTTTTCCAAGGAAAGTACGTGTGGAACGTAAACTGTGTTCGGCTTCAACCAGTGCCCAACCTTACTGTATTGCCTCATCACCACGTAAAAACTCGACGAAGCACAGTCGGTGAGTGAATGAATCATCCTTCCATCGTACAGCGCGACGAAATCGGTCAGCACACTTATCCATCTTTGACGTAATTACCATCATTCTCACAGTACTTGTACGTCAAAGATAGGCTGTCTGTACTGATCGGTACGGTAGTCTCATGTCAATAACCCGTTCTGTCTGAATATTATAATGATTTTTTTGTAGGGCTGCTCATAATGAGCTGGAGAAGACACGTCGTGCAAATTTGCGTGGATGCCTGGAAACGCTAAAAACTCTCGTGCCACCAATTGCTGATGCGTCTCGTAACACAACGTTGGCATTGCTGACGCGCGCCCGTGACCACATTAAGGTAAGTCCGCGTGAGAAACACGTGAACACAAAAATGCCGTCTCTGCTAAGAATACACACACATACCGCATGACTTTCCCCACGTCGGATCTGATGCACTTCTATGAACACATTAAACAACGCTAGGAAATTCCCCCCTGGCTGACGTTAATGAGAAAGACTTCAAGACACAGTACCCCTATTCCCCAATCATATATTCAAAATAATAATGATTATTTTTAGCAACTCGAACAAGGAAATGCCGCACTGATCCAGGAGCGTGATCGATTGGAAGATCAGAAATCCTTGCTACAAAGTGAATTGGAACGTCTGAAAGAAGGCACGTCACAGTCGACATCACCTCGTCCCTCATCCACGGTGTCTCGTCTATCACGTGATTCACCCGTATTTCTTGAATATTCACCTTCATCTAAACCGTCACAATCTCCTCAGCCAATGATCATTGATCCGGTTGCTGAAGGCTTACTTCCCGCATTGCCGATTTGCTATCCGCGGCCCTCGCTTTATCCCTACCTCGATCTCACAACTACTTCTCTGCCGCGTACCTCGTCATTCGAGGTGTCATCGTTCTTGCCGATTCATCTTCGTGTATGATGATCACCACTGTAATATTTCACTGTGTCATCAATAAACTATTCGTAGGAGAATGTTGCTGTTAACATCTGTGTGTGTTCCGGTTGTTTAAAACTGACGACGGGGATGGATGGCTGGCTGGGCTGGGCTGGCTGGGTTGGGCTGGGGATGACTGGCTGGCTTGTGTCGTCGTGAAATGCGCATTCATTCGTCCATTGCTACAAAGTGAAAGGTTGCAGCGAGGGGAATTCTGAGTGCACATTTCCTCACGTATTGCTTCGCTCGTCTGGTCGCGTGCTATCTCAGCCCCCAAATGTCGGGGCCGCCGCAGCCACGTGCACATGTTTTTCATGGTGGATCCATGTGGACATAAACGCGTTCGCGTCACCATCACCGGCGGTACGAAGCGGCGCTTGTTTATGTAAACAACATACACACACGATTTGCACAGAGCGTGTTGACTTCTGACCAAGGGGGGTTACACGATGCTGCAAACCAACCCATCTGCAGGAAGCCTTCTAGTGGAATCGCAGTCTCTGAGGTCTTGCGGGCAATAACGCGTGACTTCGCTGATGATCTTCGACTCTATCACCAATGAAGAAGTGGTTCGGCGACAGCACACGCAGCAGGCATTCGCATCGTCATGGGGTCAGAGAGCTGCGTCATCATAATGGGAAAAGGGCAAGTTGGAGCGCGAGCGCTGTGTCGGCAAGAAAACATGGGGGAGCTTGTTTTCGCGCAGAGATGAGGCTGGGCCGGTCGCGGCCGGTCGAACGATGTTTTGCAGACGTGCTGGGGGGAGGCACACGAGGCGAGAGGCCCAATGTTGCACCCTTCCTAACGAGAGATCTATTTGCGTTCGTCAGCTGCACGTGTGCGAATCAAACAACATGCGCAAGAGCAGCATTCCGGCCATATACGACCGTCCATGGACAAATTTAGCCATGGACCGATAAAAGCACAGGCACACCGGCTCTCATTCCATTCATTGCTCTCTTATCAATCGAACGGGCAAGGAGGATGGGATGACGCATGCTCCTGCGTTTCCTTCTTCGTAGGGGTCTTTTTTTGCTGGCCGATCCTCTGCGTCTCCTCCGGCTGGTTTCCTATATTCGGTTTCATCGAGAATTTTCTGCAGCTGACCGAATAGCGCTGAACCAGCCCGAAGACCACTCTGATACCAACCGTGCAGTGTATTTCAAAATACGCCCTTGCGGCTTAGGGCACTTGCAAATATCATTCAGCAGCGGTGCAGTTTGCGCTGCTCGGCTTGTCGGCCGAGTCGAAGCGGCGCCTGCGTCATAAACCAATCGGAATACGTGCAGAGTACGGGTAGAGGCCAAATTCACGTTTATCATGTGCACGACTGTCCATGTGGCCAGATGAACAGTAACTCACTAAATATCTCTCAAACGGTTTCGGAAGGGGCTATGGTTTCCTTTTGTGCAGTTTTCTGCCGCCTTTCCCCATCCAATTGAACTGAGCAGGAGTCGGGCTTGACCCTTAAGCTGACCGTCCAACGTCACCAGGCCTATTATCGATCGCTGCTCATAACATACTTGGCCTTTTTAGTACGATTGCTATGAATGTTTGTAACGTTCGAGAAAGCTTTACAAGTTTTTTTTTCATAAAAAAAATGCTGCGCTGGTAGAGAAGAATGAACGTTGGACGAGAATGTGTGGCACTCAGGGCCTGTATCGATTGTTTTTTGTGACCAACTCGTCGCCACTCTTATCACAACGAGGAATGTGCATGTGTGTGTGTGACAAATAGCACATCACCTAAGAGCCAAGATCGAAAATGAAAAATATTTTGGTACACTGAACGATTTCGTAATCTCTTCGATGCCGAGGAAAGCTTCAACTCATAGCGGTCACGTGTTCAACGCATGGAAGTGCGTCGTCTAAGCACACTTTTTATTGATTACTCATTGACAAGTCGATCAAAAAAAACGTGCACCAAATCGGGCAAGTGTCGCATGATATTCTGGACTGAGATGAAAACGTTTTTTGCTCCAAATCGGAATTTGAAAAATTACCATTGTCCAACAATTCCCGACAGTAGCATCCGTCGACAATTTGATTTACAGTTTGTTCGCAGTTTTCACGTTCTTCTAATTATTTTCCAACCATCAATTTTGTTCTGCTATTGTTTCCAGGGCCGACTTAAGTTTTCAATTTAGTTAAAACTCAGGAAATGAACTGAATCTAGGAGATTAGCCCTAGACGATAACACAACTAGTACTTAATTATCTTAAAAATATAAATTATATCTCAAAAATCCGGCAAAAAAGCCATGAACGTTTTTTGCACGTTTTCGAAAGCTGGATGTCATTTCGCTTGAAATGCTGACCATTAGAGGGAGTTGGAGCAGTTATGGTATGTCGCACTACCGTACCTATCATCCACCCACACAAGGCATGCTCCCTTCCATGCCCGGCCTGTGATAACCCTGGGTAAAATTTTGGGTCAACACCGCCTCCATCACTTGATCCTGGTTTGTCCTATTGGTGTTTGGGAATGGTTTGTCAAACCCACAAAGTAATCCTCATCCCAATAAAAAGAAAACTAAAGTCAATGGGCTGCACGGTAGCGAGAACTACTGAAGCGGTAAAAATTGTGAAAGTTCTGGAATTTCTCTAGAAATAGTAAAATTGAGAAACTTCTCTCATGCCTTCCACCTGATGCCATTTTCACAGGGCGCCCTCTTTCCCCTTTAAGATTTTCCAACCTGACGGCAGTTGACCCTGCTTCCATCAGTCCGCGATCAGTAAAACAGTGCCGGATTAGTTTGGGAGGATAAAACTCTGACTTGGACCCACGCTGTCCATTCCTTGTGGTCTTTGTACTGAATGAATATGCATTCCAAGCTCTGCGATCCCAAGCGAAGTGTAATACGTGAAGAGATTAATCAACGGCGACCGCTTTATCCTCGCTTGCTCTGTTTTGTGACCATATGAACATAAATTCATTCACAATGGTCACTATAGCTTCAGATGGTAGTCCTGGGAAGGAAAGCTGAAAATCCTCACGTGGAATACTTCTCGAACTTTGCAAACAAATTTTGAAGTTGTAGATTTATTAGAGTTAGATATACGTCGTGGTCAACCATCGAGTTTCTTATGAATTTACTCAAGATCGTGGAAATAATCAGAAATTCAAATAGATCCTGTGTGTTAAGCTGTACTTTGATGTTTCTCGAGAACATTGTACAGTTGGAGCATGAAGTTTTTTGCTACAGTACAGCGCAGACGTCAAGGAGCCAACAAGGTACTGTATGTTTGCGATGACGACTTGACGAGCACTGAAGCAGGGATGAGTTTGAAAAGAGACCGGTCCAGGTTGTTGCAAAATTTGATCTCGGAGATGCTCTCATTTTTGTTCTGAGTAATCGATAAACTGCAAAAATGTGAAAAGTTACTTCTGCTTGTTTTTGATTTGTTTACTGCTATTTTCGGTCGCAGTTCACCTTGTGAAAGTTCCACAAGAATGTTGTTTTTCCAAGAGTAGCGAAACGGTGACCCGGTAACGTAACCCCGTAACAGACGTGCTCAATAAGCAGAGGTGCAGACAGGTTCGAGTCCCGCCTGGGGCGAAAGTTTTGTTTATAACCCAGCCTTTTTGGTGAAGCTTACCTTTCTTGGCTTGGCTCTTTTGATGAGCCCTAAATAACTGGGAAGTCCTAGGAATCACTATTGAATGATATCAGGAATAACTATTTGCTGCTGATTGATAAATAGAAAAATAACAACAAATAACTGTAATAGTAGTAAATAGCAATAAAAAATAATAAATTGAGTAAAAAATGTTTGTAAAAAACTAGAGTGAAAAGTAAATTGCATGCCAAGCGTTATTTTCCTACAAAACTTTTGAATAATTTGAGCCTAGAGAAGAATGTTGAAGGTCAGGGACGCAGAGGGACTACTACTGAAGAGAAAAAATGATCTTAGAAAATTGGAAACTGTAACTTTTCATAAACCTTGTTAAAATTTGTTTGATGGAGTTTTAGTTTGTTGTATCAATAAGTGATGGTTTTTTGTGTGTAGGCTGGGCTAAAATTTCGAAGGCTCAGAAAAATTTGGAACCTGAAGAATAGCTAGCCGATCATTTCGAATTCTGACTCTGGACAATAACATTTGCTTATAAAAAACAATGTAGCACAATTCATCAATCCTCGTCCTTGGCAGGCTACCGGTTCTAAATAACAATATAATATTTTCAGGGGTGGAATTTTGAAAGATGTTTTCGTTAAAAAAAATCTGCGCGCAGGATTTTCAGACCTATTGAACACTTTAATA